TGAGTGAGGGAGTGTATGAGTGAGTGTATGAGTGAGTGTATGAGTGAGTGAGTGTATGAGTGAGTGTATAAGTGAGTGTATGAGTGAGTGTATGAGTGAGTGAGTGTATGAGTGAGTGTATGAGTGAGTGTATGAGTGAGTGTATGAGTGAGTGAGTGTATGAGTGAGTGTATGAGTGAGTGTATGAGTGAGTGAGTGTATGAGTGAGTGTGTGAGTGAGTGTATGAGTGAGTGTATGAGTGAGTGTATGAGTGAGTGTATGAGTGAGTGTATAAATGAGTGTATGAGTGAGTGTATGAGTGAGTGTATGAGTGAGTGTATGAGTGAGTGTATGAGTGAGTGTGTGAGTGAGTGTATGAGTGAGTGTATGAGTGAGTGAGTGTATGAGTGAGTGTATGAATGAGTGTATGAGTGAGTGTATGAGTGAGTGTATGAGTGAGTGTATGAGTGAGTGTATGAGTGAGTGTATGAGTGAGTGTGTGAGTGAGTGTATGAGTGAGTGTATGAGTGAGTGAGTGTATGAGTGAGTGAGTGTATGAGTGAGTGTATGAGTGAGTGTATGAGTGAGTGTATGAGTGAGTGAGTGTATGAGTGAGTGTATGAGTGAGTGTATGAGTGAGTGAGTGTATGAGTGAGTGTGTGAGTGAGTGTATGAGTGAGTGTATGAGTGAGTGTATGAGTGAGTGTATAAATGAGTGTATGAGTGAGTGTATGAGTGAGTGTATGAGTGAGTGTATGAGTGAGTGTATGAGTGAGTGTGTGAGTGAGTGTATGAGTGAGTGTATGAGTGAGTGTATGAGTGAGTGTATGAATGAGTGTATGAGTGAGTGTATGAGTGAGTGTATGAGTGAGTGTATGAGTGAGTGTATGAGTGAGTGTATGAGTGAGTGTGTGAGTGAGTGTATGAGCGAGTGTATGAGTGAGTGTATGAGTGAGTGAGTGTATGAGTGAGTGAATGAGTGAGTGTATGAGTGAGTGTATGAGTGAGTGTATGAGTGAGTGTATGAGTGAGTGAGTGTATGAGTGAGTGTGTGAGTGAGTGTATGAGTGAGTGTATGAGTGAGTGTATGAGTGAGTGTATAAATGAGTGTATGAGTGAGTGTATAAGTGAGTGTATGAGTGAGTGAGTGTATGAGTGAGTGTATGAGTGAGTGAATGAGTGAGTGTATGAGTGAGTGAGTGTATGAGTGAGTGTGTGAGTGAGTGTATGAGTGAGTGTATGAGTGAGTGTATGAGTGAGTGTATAAATGAGTGTATGAGTGAGTGTATAAGTGAGTGTATGAGTGAGTGTATGAGTGAGTGAGTGTATGAGTGAGTGTATGAGTGAGGGAGTGTATGAGTGAGTGTATGAGTGAGTGTGTGAGTGAGTGTCTGAGTGAGTGTATGAGTGAGTGTATGAGTGAGTGTATGAGTGAGTGTATGAGTGAGTGTATGAGTGAGTGTATGAGTGAGTGAGTGAGTGTGTGAGTGAGTGTATGAGTGAGTGTATGAGTGAGTGTATGAGTGAGTGAGTGTATGAGTGAGTGTATGAATGAGTGTATGAGTGAGTGTATGAGTGAGTGTATGAGTGAGTGTATGAGTGAGTGAGTGTATGAGTGAGTGTATGAGTGAGTGTATGAGTGAGTGTATGAGTGAGTGTATGAGTGAGTGTATGAGTGAGTGTATGAGTGAGTGAGTGTATGAGTGAGTGTGTGAGTGAGTGTATGAGTGAGTGTATGAGTGAGTGTATGAGTGAGTGTATAAATGAGTGTATGAGTGAGTGTATAAGTGAGTGTATGAGTGAGTGTATGAGTGAGTGAGTGTATGAGTGAGTGTATGAGTGAGGGAGTGTATGAGTGAGTGTATGAGTGAGTGTGTGAGTGAGTGTATGAGTGAGTGTATGAGTGAGTGTATGAGTGAGTGTGTGTGTGAGTGAGTGTATGAGTGAGTGTATGAGTGAGTATATGAGTGAGTGTATGAATGAGTGTATGAGTGAGTGTATGAGTGAGTGTATGAGTGAGTGTATGAGTGAGTGTATGAGTGAGTGAGTGAGTGTGTGAGTGAGTGTATGAGTGAGTGTATGAGTGAGTGTATGAGTGAGTGAGTGTATGAGTGAGTGTATGAATGAGTGTATGAGTGAGTGTATGAGTGAGTGTATGAGTGAGTGTATGAGTGAGTGAGTGTATGAGTGAGTGTATGAGTGAGTGAATGAGTGAGTGTATGAGTGAGTGTATGAGTGAGTGTATGAGTGAGTGTATGAGTGAGTGAGTGTATGAGTGAGTGTATGAGTGAGTGTGTGAGTGAGTGTATGAGTGAGTGTATGAGTGAGTGTGTGAGTGAGTGTATAAGTGAGTGTATGAGTGAGTGAGTGTATGAGTGAGTGAGTGTATGAGTGAGGGAGTGTATGAGTGAGTGTATGAGTGAGTGTATGAGTGAGTGAGTGTATGAGTGAGTGAGTGTATGAGTGAATGAGTGAGTGTATGAGTGAGTGTATGAGTGAGTGTATGAGTGAGTGTATGAGTGAGTGAGTGTATGAGTGAGTGTATGAGTGAGTGTGTGAGTGAGTGTATGAGTGAGTGTATGAGTGAGTGAGTGAGTGTATAAGTGAGTGTATGAGTGAGTGAGTGTATGAGTGAGTGAGTGTATGAGTGAGGGAGTGTATGAGTGAGTGTATGAGTGAGTGTATGAGTGAGTGTATGAGTGAGTGAGTGTATGAGTGAGTGAGTGTATGAGTGAGTGAGTGAGTGTATGAGTGTATGAGTGAGTGTATGAGTGAGTGTATGAGTGAGTGAGTGTATGAGTGAGTGTATGAGTGAGTGTATGAGTGAGTGAGTGTATGAGTGAGTGTATGAGTGAGTGTATGAGTGAGTGTATGAGTGAGTGTATGAGTGAGTGTATGAGTGAGTGAGTGTATGAGTGAGTGTGTGAGTGAGTGTATGAGTGAGTGAGTGTATGAGTGAGTGTGTGAGTGAGTGTGTGAGTGAGTGTATAAGTGAGTGTATGAGTGAGTGAGTGTATGAGTGAGTGAGTGTATGAGTGAGGGAGTGTATGAGTGAGTGTATGAGTGAGTGTATGAGTGAGTGTATGAGTGAGTGAGTGTATGAGTGAGTGAGTGTATGAGTGAGTGAGTGAGTGTATGAGTGTATGAGTGAGTGTATGAGTGAGTGTATGAGTGAGTGAGTGTATGAGTGAGTGTATGAGTGAGTGTATGAGTGAGTGAGTGTATGAGTGAGTGTATGAGTGAGTGTATGAGTGAGTGTATGAGTGAGTGTATGAGTGAGTGTATGAGTGTGTGAGTGTATGAGTGAGTGTGTGAGTGAGTGTATGAGTGAGTGAGTGTATGAGTGAGTGAGTGTATGAGTGAGTGAGTGAGTGTATGAGTGTATGAGTGAGTGTATGAGTGAGTGTATGAGTGAGTGAGTGTATGAGTGAGTGTATGAGTGAGTGTATGAGTGAGTGTATGAGTGAGTGTATGAGTGAGTGTATGAGTGAGTGTATGAGTGAGTGTATGAGTGTGTGAGTGTATGAGTGAGTGTGTGAGTGAGTGTATGAGTGAGTGAGTGTATGAGTGAGTGTGTGAGTGAGTGTGTGAGTGAGTGTATAAGTGAGTGTATGAGTGAGTGAGTGTATGAGTGAGTGAGTGTATGAGTGAGGGAGTGTATGAGTGAGTGTATGAGTGAGTGTATGAGTGAGTGTATGAGTGAGTGAGTGTATGAGTGAGTGAGTGTATGAGTGAGTGAGTGAGTGTATGAGTGTATGAGTGAGTGTATGAGTGAGTGTATGAGTGAGTGAGTGTATGAGTGAGTGTATGAGTGAGTGTATGAGTGAGTGTATGAGTGAGTGAGTGTATGAGTGAGTGTATGAGTGAGTGTATGAGTGAGTGTATGAGTGAGTGTATGAGTGAGTGTATGAGTGTGTGAGTGTATGAGTGAGTGTGTGAGTGAGTGTATGAGTGAGTGAGTGTATGAGTGAGTGTGTGAGTGAGTGTATGAGTGAGTGTATGAGTGAGTGTATGAGTGAGTGAGTGTATGAGTGAGTGTATGAGTGAGTGAGTGTATGAGTGAGTGAGTGTATGAGTGAGTGTATGAGTGTATGAGAGTGAGTGAGTGTATGAGAGTGAGTGAGTGTATGAGTGAGTGAGTGTGTGAGTGAGTGAGTGTATGAGTGTGTGAGTGTGTGAGTGAGTGGATGACTGAGTAAGTGAGTGTATGAGTGAGTGTATGAGTGAGTGAGTGTATGAGTGAGTGTATGAGTGAGTGAGTGTATGAGTGAGTGAGTGTATGAGTGAGTGTATGAGTGTATGAGAGTGAGTGAGTGTATGAGAGTCAGTGAGTGTATGAGTGAGTGAGTGAGTGTGTGAGTGAGTGAGTGTATGAGTGTGTGAGTGTGTGAGTGAGTGGATGACTGAGTAAGTGAGTGTATGAGTGAGTGTGTGAGTGAGTGAGTGTATGAGTGAGTGAGTGTATGAGTGAGTGAGTGTATGAGTGAGTGTATGAGTGGGTGAGTGAGTGAGTGTGTGAGTGAGTGTATGAGTGAGTGAGTGTATGAGTGAGTGAGTGTATGAGTGAGTGTATGAGTGAGTGTATGAGTGAGTGAGTGTATGAGTGAGTGTATGAGTGAGTGTATGAGTGAGTGAGTGTATGAGTGAGTGAGTGTATGAGTGGGTGAGTGAGTGAGTGAGTGTATGAGTGAGTGAGTGAGTGTATGAGTGAGTGTATGAGTGTATGAGTGAGTGTATGAGTGAGTGTATGAGTGAGTGTATGAGTGAGTGTATGAGTGAGTGTATGAGTGAGTGTATGAGTGAGTGTGTGTGTTAGTGTATGAGTGAGTGAGTGTATGAGTGAGTGTGTGAGTGAGTGAGTGTATGAGTGAGTGTATGAGTGAGTGTATGAGTGGGTGAGTGAGTGAGTGAGTGTATGAGTGAGTGAGTGAGTGTATGAGTGAGTGTGTGAGTGAGTGAGTGTATGAGTGAGTGTATGAGTGAGTGAGTGTATGAGTGAGTGAGTGTATGAGTGAGTGTATGAGTGAGTGTGTGAGTGATCACCGGCAGGAATTCCCAGCCTGTCTCTCTCGTGCCCGAAGTCACTGAAGGAGGCATCAAGGGCTCGTGATACAACATCTTTACTGACGGGGGTGAGGAGTGGCACGTGGGTAGAGTTGTCCACCTCATCATCTACAGAGGGACACACTCACTCACTTATACACTCACTCACACACTCACTCACTCACTCAGTCACTCACTCAGTCACTCACTCACTCACTTATACACTCACTCACACACTCACTCACTCATACACTCACTCACTCAGTCACTCACTCAGTCACTCACTTACACACTCACTTATACACTCACTCACTCATACACTCACTCATACACTCACTCATACACTCACTCACTCAGTCACTCACTCACTCATACACTCACTCACTCATACACTCACTCAGTCACTCACTCAGTCACTCACTCATACACTCACTCAGTCACTCATACAGTCATACACTCACTCAGTCACTCACTCACCCACTCATACACTCACTCACTCAGTCACTCACTCATACACTCACTCATACACTCACTCACTCATACACTCACTCACCACACACACTCACCACACCACTCACACTCACCACACCACTCACACTCACCACACTCACCACACTACACTCACCACACTCACCACACCACTCACACTCACCAAACCGCACTCACCACACTCACACACACTCACCACTACACTCACCACCACACTCACCACACTCACTCACACACACTCACCACTCACCACTCACACCCACTACACTCACCACCACACTCACCACACTCACTCACACACACTCACCACTCACCACTCACACCCACTACGACACTCACCACTCACCACACTCACCACACTCACTCACACTCACCACTCACACTCACCACACTCACCACACTCACCACACCCACCACACCACACTCACCACACACTCACCACACTCACCACACTCACCACACCACACACACTCACCACACCCACCACACCACACTCACCACACACTCACCACACTCACCACACTCACCACACCCACCACACCACACTCACCACACACTCACCACACTCACCACACCCACCACACCACACTCACCACACACTCACCACACTCACCACACCCACCACACCACACTCACCACACACTCACACACTCACCACACTCACCACACCACACACACTCACCACACTCACACACTCACCACACTCACACACTCACCACACTCACCACACCACACACACTCACCACACTCACACACTCACCACTCACCACACTCACACACTCACCACACTCACACACACTCACTACACTCACACTACACTCACCACACTCACCACACCACACTCACCACACTCACCACTCACCACACACACCACACCACTCACACTCACCACACTCACCACACTCACTCACACTCACCACTCACACTCACCACACTCACCACACTCACCACACCCACCACACCACACTCACCACACTCACCACACTCACACACACTCACTACACTCACACTACACTCACCACACACTCACCACTCACATTCACCACTACACTCACCACACTCACCACACTCACCACACTCACCACACTCACTCACACACTCACCACTACACTCACCACTACACTCACCACACTCACCACACACTCACCACACCACAACTAAATCAGTACCCAAGCTTCCGCTGTCATCCGCGCCCGTGGGAACCTCCTGCAGGGCACCGCCTCCAAAGCTGCGGACATTCCACGTTCCCATGGCCGGGGCCAGGCGGTCGAAGGCAAACTGCCTCTACAAGAGACACCACGAGGACATTGGTGGTGGTGATGGTGATGGTGGTGATGGTGGTGGTGGTGATGGTGGTGGTGGTGGTTGTGATGGTGGTGATTATGGTGATGGTGGTGATGGTGGTGATGGTGGTGGTGGTGATGGTGATGATGGTGGTGATGGTGGTGGTGATGGTGGTGATGGTGGTGGTGATGGTGGTGATGGTGGTGGTGATGGTGGTGGTGATGGTGGTGATGGTGGTGGTGGTGATCGTGGTGGTGATGGTGGTGATGGTGGTGGTGGTGATGGTGATGGTGATAGTGGTGATGGTGGTGATGGTGGTGGTGGTGGTGATCGTGGTGGTGATGGTGGTGATGGTGGTGGTGATGGTGATGGTGGTTATGGTGGTGGTGTTGGTGGTGATGGGGGTGATGATGATGATGGTGGTGATGGTGGTGATGGTGATGGTGGTGATGGTGATGGTGGTGATGGTGATAGTGGTGGTGATGGTGGTGGGGGTGATGGTGGTGATGGTGGTGGTGATGGTGGTAGTGGTGATGGTGCTGCTGGTGCTGATGGTGATGATGGTGGTGGTGGTGGTGGTGATGGTGGTGGTGGTGATGGTGGTGATGGTAATGATGGTGGTGGTGATGGTGGTGGTGGTGATGATGGTGGTGATGGTGGTGATGGTGGTGGTGGTGATGGTGGTGATGGTGGTGGTGATGGTGATGGTGGTGGTGATGGTGGTGATGATGGTGATGGTGGTGGTGATGGTGGTGATGGTGGTGGTGATGGTGGTGGTGATGGTGGTGGTGGTGATGGTGGTGATGGTGGTGATGGTGGTGGTGATGGTGGTGGTGGTGATGGTGGTGGTGACCGTGGCCGAGAAGACCTGAAGCTTAGTGCGGAGCGACAGAGCAGGTAGCTTCCACACAGCGTTACGCAACCGATGAAAAGATATTGCCGCTCGACTGATTCGGAGTGAGACCTCTGCTGTTAAACTGGAGCCAGTCATAAGCACACTGCCCAGGTATGGGAAACTCTCCACTCTCTACACAACTGCCCCATCACCGATTGGGAGTTGTGGGGGTGGAGTGTCCGATGGTACAAAATACCCAGGCAGGTGCTTAGTTTTGGTGGGGCTGATGGTAAGGCCCCATCTCTTAGTGGCACGCTCCAGTCTCAGCAGCAGCGTCTCCAACTCCTCCTTTGAATGAGCAGCTATTACCAAATCATCGGCATACATAATAACGTGGTTGAGCAATAGGGAGCCATCCCTTGACCGCACCCGGGCATCGATCAGCCTCCCATTATATCTGTAACATATGGAGATTCCCCCGGTACAGCTATTGAAGGCTTCACGAACTACGTGGTCAAAATAGATGTTAAATAATGTGGGAGCCAGAGGACATCCCTGTCACACCCCAAGGTGTACAGGGAATGGCTCTGACTCCCGTCCACGTAGTTTTACCCGGGCCCGCTCACCATCATGAAGGTCCTTAATAATCGTGAGCAGAATGTCAGGTACTCCAAAAGCACGAAGAACAACCCAGAGCCCAGGCCTACTGATGGTATCATAGGCCTTGACCAGGTCAATAAAGCAGAGATGTAGGTCTTGTTGGAATTGCCTACACCTCTGCTGTAGCAGACGGACAGAAAATATGGCATCTGTGCAGGACCGCCCTTTCCTGAAACCGCATTGGGGCTCCGCAAGCTTCTCCTCAGCGTGCCTGGCAAGGCGATGCTGAATAATCCTTGCCAGGACCTTTCCCGGCACACTGAGGAGTGAGATGCCCCTGTAGTTGTTACAGTCTGTGCGGTCCCCCTTCTTAAAGAGGGGGACCACCAGGGCATCCTTCCAATCCTGCGGAACCCGTCCAGTGGTCCAGACTGTTGTTATGATGTCATATAGGGCAGTCTGTGCACAAACGCCACCCTCCCTCAGCATTTCGCTTGGGAGATCATCTCTGCCCGCTGCCTTTCCTGGTCTCAGACTCCGGATCGCCTTCAGTATTTCCTCAACAGATGGCTCCTCAGCCAGCCACTCACAGGGGGTGACTTCTTCCACAGACACACACACACAGACACACACACAGACACACACAGACACACACAAAAACACACACAAACACACAGACACACTCACAGGCACACACACACAGACACACACACACAGACACACACACACCAACATGAATACCTTAAGATTTGCTCTTGAGAAGGGAATTCTGTCCATGTCCGGGTCAATGAAATTCATGGCTGTGGTAGAACAGCAACAAGGATATTCACATAGCCATTATTATAGTGAGTCTGTGTGGTGAGTCTTGTGTGGTGAGTCCGTGGGTCTCTGTGTGGTGAGTCTGTGGGTCTCTGTGTGGTGAGTCTGTGGGTCTGTGTGTGTGTGTGAGTCTGTGGGTCTCTGTGTGGTGAGTCTGTGTGGTGAGTCTGTGTGGTGAGTCTGTGGGTCTCTGTGTGGTGAGTCTGTGGGTCTCTGTGTGGTGAGTCTGTGTGGTGAGTCTGTGTGGTGAGTCTGTGGGTCTCTGTGTGGTGAGTCTGTGTGGTGAGTCTGTGTGGTGAGTCTGTGGGTCTCTGTGTGGTGAGTCAGTAGGTCTCTGTGTGGTGAATCTGTGTGGTGAGTCTGTGTGGTGAGTCTGTGGGTCTCTGTGTGGTGAGTCTATGGGTCTCTGTGTGTGTGTTAGTCTGTGTGGTGAGTCTGTGTGGTGAGTCTGTGTGGTGAGTCTGTGTGGTGAGTCTGTGTGGTGAGTCTGTGGGTCTCTGTGTGGTGAGTCTGTGGGTCTCTGTGTGGTGAGTCTATGGGTCTCTGTGTGGTGAGTCTGTGTGTATGGTGAGTCTATGGGTCTCTGTGTGGTGAGTCTGTGTGGTGAGTCTGTGTGGTGAGTCTGTGTGGTGAGTCTGTGTGGTGAGTCTGTGGGTCTCTGTGTGGTGAGTCTGTGTGGGTCTCTGTGTGGTGAGTCTGTGGGTCTCTGTGTGGTGAGTCTGTGTGGTGAGTCTGTGTGGTGAGTCTGTGTGGTGAGTCCGTGGGTCTCTGTGTGGTGAGTCTGTGGGTCTCTGTGTGGTGAGTCTATGTGGTGAGTCTGTGTGGTGAGTCTGTGTGGTGAGTCTGTGTTGTGAGTCTGTGTGTTGAGTCTGTGGGTCTCTGTGTGGTGAGTCTGTGTGGTGAGTCTGTGTGGTGAGTCCGTGGGTCTCTGTGTGGTGAGTCTGTGTGGTGAGTCTGTGTGGTGAGTCTGTGGGTCTCTGTGTGGTGAGTCTGTGGGTCTCTATGTGGTGAGTCTGTGGGTCTCTGTGTGGTGAGTCTGTGTGGTGAGTCTGTGTGGTGAGTTCGTGGGTCTCTGTGTGGTGAGTCTGTGTGGTGAGTCTGTGTGGTGAGTCTGTGTGGTGAGTCTGTGGGTCTCTGTGTGGTGAGTCTGTGTGGTGAGTCTGTGTGGTGAGTCTGTGTGGTGAGTCTGTGTGGTGAGTCCGTGGGTCTCTGTGTGGTGAGTCTGTGTGGTGAGTCTGTGTGGTGAGTCTGTGTGGTGAGTCTGTGTGGTGAGTCTGTGGGTCTCTGTGTGGTGAGTCTGTGGGTCTCTATGTGGTGAGTCTGTGGGTCTCTGTGTGGTGAGTCTGTGTGGTGAGTCTGTGTGGTGAGTCTGTGTGGTGAGTTCGTGGGTCTCTGTGTGGTGAGTCTGTGTGGTGAGTCTGTGTGGTGAGTCTGTGTGGTGAGTCTGTGGGTCTCTGTGTGGTGAGTCTGTGTGGTGAGTCTGTGTGGTGAGTCTGTGTGGTGAGTCCGTGGGTCTCTGTGTGGTGAGTCTGTGTGGTGAGTCTGTGTGGTGAGTCTGTGTGGTGAGTCTGTGTGGTGAGTCTGTGGGTCTCTGTGTGGTGAGTCTGTGGGTCTCTATGTGGTGAGTCTGTGGGTCTCTGTGTGGTGAGTCTGTGTGGTGAGTCTGTGTGGTGAGTCTGTGTGGTGAGTTCGTGGGTCTCTGTGTGGTGAGTCTGTGTGGTGAGTCTGTGTGGTGAGTCTGTGTGGTGAGTCTGTGTGGTGAGTCTGTGTGGTGAGTCTGTGGGTGTCTGTGTGGTGAGTCTGTGGGTCTCTGTGTGTGTGTGAGTCTGTGTGGTGAGTCTGTGTGGTGAGTCTGTGTGGTGAGTCTGTGTGGTGAGTCTGTGTGGTGAGTCTATGGGTCTCTGTGTGTGAGTCTGTGGGTCTCTGTGTGGTGAGTCTGTGGGTCTCTGTGTGGTGAGTCTGTGGGTCTCTGTGTGGTGAGTCTATGGGTCTCTGTGTGGTGAGTCTCTGAATCGGTCCTGGGCCTCCCCTAAGTAGACTCAGCCTCAAATGAGTACCTGGTGTAGTGGTGGTGGCCACCCACCCCCTTTGTGTGTGACTGCACTTGCCCCTACAGCCCTGCTAGAGGCTACCTGGGGGAGCTTTGTCTGTGTCTGTGTGACTGCACTTGCCCCTACAGCCCTGCTAGAGGCTACCTGGGGTAGCTTTGTCTGTGTCTGTGTGACTGCACTTGCCCCTACAGCCCTGCTAGAGGCTACCTGGGGGAGCTTTGTCTGTGTCTGTGTGACTGCACTTGCCCCTAGAGCCCTGCTAGAGGCTACCTGGGGCAGCTTTGTCTGTGTCTGTGTAACTGCACTTGCCCCTACGGCACTGCTAGAGGCTACCTGGGGTAGCTTTGTCTGTGTCTGTGTAACTGCACTTGCCCCTACAGCCCTGCTAGAGGCTACCTGGGGGAGCTTTGTCTGTATCTGTGTAACTGCACTTGCCCCTACAGCTCTGCTAGAGGCTACCTGGGGAGCTTTGTCTGTGTCTGTGTAACTGCACTTGCCCCTACAGCCCTGCTAGAGGCTACCTGGGGGAGCTTTGTCTGTATCTGTGTAACTGCACTTGCCCCTACAGCTCTGCTAGAGGCTACCTGGGAGCTTTGTCTGTGTCTGTGTAACTGCACTTGCCCCTACAGCCCTGCTAGAGGCTACCTGGGGGAGCTTTGTCTGTATCTGTGTAACTGCACTTGCCCCTACAGCTCTGCTAGAGGCTACCTGGGGAGCTTTGTCTGTGTCTGTGTAACTGCACTTGCCCCTACAGCCCTGCTAGAGGCTACCTGGGGGAGCTTTGTCTGTATCTGTGTAACTGCACTTGCCCCTACAGCTCTGCTAGAGGCTACCTGGGGAGCTTTGTCTGTGTTGACGTAGCAATGTATAACGCTCAGTACATTTGCACTGTACGTGGGCGTGTGTGAACGTGTGGTTTATGTGTGTGTGTCTCCGTGTGTCTCCGTGTGTGTCTCCGTGTGTGTCTGTGTGTGTCTGTGTGTGTCTGTGTGTCTCTGTCTGTGTGTCTGTGTGTCTCTGTGTGTCTGTCTGTGTGTCTCTGCGTGTGTGTGTGTGTCTGCGTGTGTGTCTGCGTGTGTGTCTGTGTGTCTGCGTGTGTGTGTCTGCGTGTGTGTCTGTGTGTCTGCGTGTGTGTGTCTGTGTGTGTGTCTGTGTGTGTCTGTGTGTGCCTGTCTGTGTGTGTCTGTGTGTGTGTGTCTGTGTGTGTGTGTCTGTCAGTGTGTCTGTGTCTGTGTGTCTGTGTGTATTTCTGTGAATGTGTCTGTGTGTCTGTGTGTGTCTCTGTGTGTACGTGTGTCTCTGTGTGTACGTGTGTCTCTGTGTGTCTGTGTGTGTGTGTCTGTGTGTGTGTCTGTGTGTGTGTCTGCGTGTGTGTCTGTGTGTGTGTGTCTGTGTGTGTGTGTCTGCGTGTGTGTCTGTGTGTGTGTGTCTGTGTGTGTGTGTCTGTGTGTGTACGTAACGTACGTCCATCACCTTCCAACACACACAGAGGATTAACTGCCCATGACACACACATGTTAACATACGAGAGCAATTAACCGACGTGAATTGCGAGTCCACTCACCCCTCGCCTCTCCCTCACTCCCTCTCTCTCTCTCTGCGTATAATCCAATCTTTGAAGATGCCCCCGTTCCGGAACGACGGACAAACGTGAACTAACCGAAATGCGTTCACTCCGCTCTTATATAGCCTCGGTCAAGACACCCCTCGGATGTTGGGTTCTACTTAGTACATCCCAAACACTCCCCCCCCCACCCACTGCTCACCGCGCGAGAACCAATCAGAAGCGTCCGTGCGCGACGATGGGGCGGGGTTGGAAAGACGTTGCCCGCGACGCTATTGGTCCGCGCGACGCGGTGGGGGGGGAAGGGGGCGGGGTCTGGATCATACCATTAATGGGAGGGAGAGGTGGGGTTTTAGTGGACTCGTCTGTGATGAGTGAATAACCAGTGCCATCTACATCTGTAGAACGTGAAGAACCAGTGGCATCTACATCTGTAGAACGTGAAGAACCAGTGGCATCTACATCTACAGAACGTGAAGAACCAGTGGCATCTACATCTACAGAACGTGAAGAACCAGTGGCATCTACAGAACGTGAAGAACCAGTGGCATCTACATCTACAGAACATGAAGAACCAGTGGCATCTACATCTACAGAACATGAAGAACCAGTGGCATCTACAGAACGTGAAGAACCAGTGGCATCTACATCTACAGAACGTGAAGAACCAGTGGCATGTACAGAACGTGAAGAACCAGTGGCATCTACATCTGCAGAACGTGAAGAACCAGTGGCATCTACATCTACAGAACGTGAAGAACCAGTGGCATCTACATCTGTAGAACGTGAAGAACCAGTGGCATGTACAGAACGTGAAGAACCAGTGGCATCTACATCTGTAGAACGTGAAGAACCAGTGGCATCTACATCTACAGAACGTGAAGAACCAGTGGCATCTACATCTACAGAACGTGAAGAACCAGTGGCATCTACATCTACAGAACGTGAAGAACCAGTGGCATCTACATCTACAGAACGTGAAGAACCAGTGGCATCTACATCTACAGAACGTGAAGAACCAGTGGCATCTAGATCTACAGAACGTGAAGAACCAGTGGCATCTACAGAACGTGAAGAACCAGTGGCATCTACATCTACAGAACGTGAAGAACCAGGGCCATCTACATCTGTAGAACGTGAAGAACCAGTGGCATCTACATCTGTAGAACGTGAAGAACCAGTGGCATCTACAGAACGTGAAGAACCAGTGGCATCTACATCTACAGAACGTGAAGAACCAGTGGCATCTACATCTACAGAACGTGAAGAACCAGTGGCATCTACATCTACAGAACGTGAAGAACCAGTGGCATCTACAGAACGTGAAGAACCAGTGGCATCTACATCTACAGAACGTGAAGAACCAGTGGCATCTACAGAACGTGAAGAACCAGTGGCATCTACATCTCCAGAACGTGAAGAACCAGTGGCATCTACATCTACAGAACGTGAAGAACCAGTGGCATCTACATCTACAGGACGTGAAGAACCAGTGGCATCTACATCTACAGAACGTGAAGAACCAGTGGCATCTACATCTACAGAACGTGAAGAACCAGTGGCATCTACATCTACAGAACGTGAAGAACCAGTGGCATCTACAGAACGTGAAGAACCAGTGGCATCTACATCTACAGAACGTGAAGAACCAGTGGCATCTACATCTACAGAACGTGAAAAACCAGTGGCATCTACATCTACAGAACGTGAAGAACCAGTGGCATCTACATCTACAGAACGTGAAGAACCAGTGGCATCTACAGAACGTGAAGAACCAGTGGCATCTACAGAACGTGAAGAACCAGTGGCATCTACATCTGTAGAACGTGAAGAACCAGTGGCATCTACATCTGCAGAACGTGAAGAACCAGTGGCATCTACATCTACAGAACGTGAAGAACCAGTGGCATCTACATCTACAGAACGTGAAGAACCAGTGGCATCTACAGAACGTGAAGAACCAGTGGCATCTACATCTACAGAACATGAAGAACCAGTGGCATCTACAGAACGTGAAGAACCAGTGGCATCTACATCTACAGAACATGAAGAACCAGTGGCATCTACATCTGCAGAACGTGAAGAACCAGTGGCATCTACATCTGCAGAACGTGAAGAACCAGTGGCATCTACATCTGTAGAACGTGAAGAAACAGTGGCATCTACATCTACAGAACGTGAAGAACCAGTGGCATCTACATCTGTAGAACGTGAAGAACCAGTGGCATCTACATCTGTAGAACGTAAAGAACCAGTGGCATCTACATCTACAGAACGTGAAGAACCAGTGGCATCTACATCTGCAGACCGTGAAGAACCAGTGGCATCTACATCTGTAGAACATAAAGAACCAGTGGCATCTACATCTGTAGAACGTGAAGAACCAGTGGCATCTACATCTACAACACGTGAAGAACCAGTGGCATCTACATCTACAGAACGTGAAGAACCAGTGGCATCTACAGAACGTGAAGAACCAGTGGCATCTACATCTACAGAACGTGAAGAACCAGTGGCATGTACAGAACGTGAAGAACCAGTGGCATCTACATCTACAGAACATGAAGAACCAGTGACATCTACATCTACAGAACGTGAAGAACCAGTGGCATCTACATCTGTATAACGTGAAGAACCAGTGGCATCTACATCTACAGAACGTGAAGAACCAGTGGCATCTACATCTGTATAACGTGAAGAACCAGTGGCATCTACATCTACAGAACATGAAGAACCAGTGGCATCTACATCTACAGAACGTGAAGAACCAGTGGCATCTACATCTACAGAACGTGAAGAACCAGTGGCATCTACATCTACAGAACGTGAAGAACCAGTGGCATCTACAGAACGTGAAGAACCAGTGGCATCTACAGAACGTGAAGAACCAGTGGCATCTACATCTACAGAACGTGAAGAACCAGTGGCATCTACATCTGTAGAAGGTCAAGAACCAGTGGCATCTACATCTACAGAACGTGAAGAACCAGTGGCATCTACATCTACAGAACGTGAAGAACCAGTGGCATCTACATCTACAGAATGTGAAGAACCAGTGGCATCTACATCTACAGAACGTGAAGAACCAGTGGCATCTACATCTACAGAACGTGAAGAACCAGTGGTATCTACATCTACAGAACGTGAAGAACTAGTGGCATCTACATCTACAGAACCTGAAGAACCAGTGGCATCTACATCTACAGAACGTGAAGAACCAGTGGCATCTACATCTACAGAACGTGAAGAACCAGTGGCATCTACATCTACAGAACATGAAGAACCAGTGGCATCTACATCTACAGAACGTGAAGAACCAGTGGCATCTACAGAACGTGAAGAACCAGTGGCATCTACATCTACAGAACGTGAAGAACCAGTGGCATCTACAGAACGTGAAGAACCAGTGGCATCTACAGAACGTGAAGAACCAGTGGCATCTACATCTACAGAACGTGGAGAGCCAGTGGCATCTTCATCTGCAGAACGTGAAGAACCAGTGGCATCTACATCTACAGAACGTGAAGAACCAGTGGCATCTACATCTGCAGAACGTGAAGAACTAGTGGCATCTACATCTACAGAACCTGAAGAACCAGTGGCATCTACATCTACAGAACGTGAAGAACCAGTGGCATCTACATCTACAGAACGTGAAAAACCAGTGGCATCTACATCTACAGAACATGAAGAACCAGTGGCATCTACATCTACAGAACGTGAAGAACCAGTGGCATCTACAGAACGTGAAGAACCAGTGGCATCTACATCTACAGAACGTGAAGAACCAGTGGCATCTACAGAACGTGAAGAACCAGTGGCATCTACATCTACAGAACGTGAAGAACCAGTGGCATCTACATCTACAGAACGTGAAGAACCAGTGGCATCTGTAGAACGTGAAGAACCAGTGGCATCTACATCTACAGAACGTGAAGAACCAGTGGCATGTACAGAACGTGAAGAACCAGTGGCATCTACATCTACAGAACGTGAAGAACCAGTGGCATCTACATCTACAGAACGTGAAGAACCAGTGGCATCTACATCTGCAGAACGTGAAGAACCAGTGGCATCTACATGTACAGAACGTGAAGAACCAGTGGCATGTACATCTACAGAACGTGAAGAACCAGTGGCATCTACATCTACAGAACGTGAAGAACCAGTGGCATCTACATCTACAGAACGTGAAGAACCAGTGGCATCTACAGAACGTGAAGAACCAGTGGCATCTACATCTACAGAACGTGAAGAACCAGTGGCATCTACATCTACAGAACGTGAAGAACCAGTGGCATCTACAGAACGTGAAGAACCAGTGGCATCTACAGAACGTGAAGAGCCAGTGGCATCTACATCTACAGAACGTGAAGAACCAGTGGCATCTATAGAATGTGAAGAACCAGTGACATCTACATCTACAGAACGTGAAGAACCAGTGGCATCTACATCTGTAGAACGTGAAGAACCAGTGGTATCTACATCTGCAGAACGTGAATAACCAGTGGCATCTACATCTACAGAACGTGAAGAACCAGTGGCATCTACATCTACAGAACGTGAAGAACCAGTGGCATTTACATCTACAGAACGTGAAGAACCAGTGGCATCTACGTCTACAGAACGTGAAGAACCAGTGGCATCTACATCTACAGAACGTGAAGAACCAGTGGCATCTACAGAACGTGAAGAACCTCTGGCATCTACATCTGCAGAACGTGAAGAACCAGTGGCATCTACATCTACAGAACGTGAAGAACCAGTGGCATCTACATCTGTAGAACATGAAGAACCAGTGGCATCTACATCTACAGAACGTGAAGAACCAGTGGCATCTACATCTACAGAACATGAAGAACCAGTGGCATCTACATCTGCAGAACGTGAAGAACCAGTGGCATCTACATCTACAGAACGTGAAGAACCAGTGGCATCTACATCTGTAGAACGTAAAGAACCAGTGGCATCTACATCTACAGAACGTGAAGAACCAGTGGCATCTACATCTGCAGAACGTGAAGAACCAGCAGCATCTACATCTACAGAACGTGAAGAACCAGTGGCATCTACAGAACGTGAAGAACCAGTGGCATCTACATCTGCAGAACGTGAAGAACCAGTGGCATCTACATCTGCAGAACGTGA